CCAAGTTGCTCTCTGGAGTGCGAATGTGTGCGAATGTTAGATAGAACGCACTTAAGTGTGGGAAAAAAAGTGCTTGGGTGAATTAGGCCTGTGGCATAAAGTGCATTGAGTGCTCAATTACAGTAGAAAAGCAGTTGCTGCAGCTCAAGTTATTTAGTTAACAGCTTAGTGTTTTTGCAGCGACAGCGCTAACCAGCATGACTGAGGAGGACGCTGACTTTGGAGCAGATGGTCCTAGGCAAGAGATTTTGAGATGCACCCCTCTCATTGCTCCGGAGCTAAGAAGAGATCATTCATCAGCTTGTGAGGCTAGCTCTGAAGCATCATATCACTTAACAATTGCAAAACAAATGGAAACATGTTGAGAATATTCTGCAAAATATATCTCCTGCTTTCTACACTTTGCAGTCTAAGAGAGATATTTTGCACTTCTCTTCTCTGTATGAGCACACTGTGTGCGTTTGTTTGTGATGTGCTTTCAAGTAGCTTATTTATCCCTAACAACAGTAATGATAGTAGTCATGTGTATCTATTTGCTGTGTGTGGGAGTGTTTTAATGAAATAGCAAAGTGAGTTGATGTCCCCCTGTCAAAGTTCATATGCTCTGGTGCCGAGTCTTCCTCTAATATGTAACACAAACTTTACTCACACTGAAACACACAAGACTAGTGGAGCTCAGACAAATCAACTGGGAGGTTTGGTTGGAGCTGCTGACCGCTATAAATCATGTCAGACCATTCTCCTTTCCAGGACTTATATCACATTAAATTTTATACTTCAGTTTGGTACTGGTCCCACGCCACAGTGCATTGTGTGGGTTGTTTGCAATGGCAGTGAATTGATTTTTCCAGAGAAAAGTTTCAGTAGTCTAGGCCAAAAAAAAAGACAGACAGACAAAGAAAAAACTAATCAATGAAAAATGTGTTGGACCTTCTTTACTTTAAGTTTCTAAAAGATGTTTCCTTACTCGAGGATGGCATCTGTGGTGAAATAACTTTCATTAACATTTCAAAACTAGAAGTCAGGTCTTTAGGTGGAAGCTCATTTTGATCTGTCTTTCACTTTCACTTAGACAAAAAAGAAAGGTATTATTAAAGATTAAATAGAGAGCTTTGCCTGCTAATGTGGTGCTTAATACAGTCACCAGGAGGTTTTTGCAGCAGTTTTTTTCTCTGCGCTGAAGGTTATAGCAGTCGTTTAGTATGAATTTCGGTTTTCAAAACATCAATTTGGTTTGCTAAGCTGGGTTGTGAGCTTCGCAGTGTGTTTCTCTTATAAGCTCTCAGACATTTACTGTTGAAATCAGGCCCCAAGCAATTCATATTCCCACTGTAAACACACTTAAGGGCATACTGCTGCCTGGTTTATTTCCCTGTTTGATCCACCGCGTTTCGTTTTTATCATTTTATTGTTATTCTTATTGGCTTTTATTTGCTGCTGATTGTTTATTTGATTAACTGGAAAGAGCACCTATTTCTTCAAAGTGCTTTAATGTTGCTAAAATGATAAAAAAAGCTCAATTGGCTTTGGGGCTGTCAGCTGTTGTGATGAGCTTTAACAAAAACGCTCTCCACTCTACATCTCAACTGTTTCATAAACGACGAGTGGTTTTTGTAATTGCTGAGTGGAAAATGTGACAGTCCCTCCTCGCTCCGATGAAACCTCTCAATTATCGGCCCTGTGTGTAAATGATTGTTGTCATGGCAATTACTGCTTAATCTCAGAAAACGGGCACCAAATTCATTCGGGTTCTCATCAGTGTGGACGTCTGTCAATGGTGACCAAATGTGGGTTTTGTTATATAATTCAGTGGAATAAAACCCTTCCTCTTCTATGATTGATTCATCCATTTTTTGAGTGAAAGCACAGCTGAAAGATTTAACTGAAATTGGATGAAATATCAAAAATAAGTTTCAGATTATTAAAAAGTTGAGTGGTCGGAAAGCATCATCACTCAGTTGATTAAAAAAACACGTTTTAAATAGAAGAGATATCCTTGAAATGTCAAAGGAAAATACATAAAATTTCAGTTGCATGTTCCGGCTGCTTCGGTGACATTCAGGGACACACTGATGGAGAAAAAAGCAATTACAAACATCACAGGAAATGTGAGATATCATCGTTTTAAAATCACAGAGGGAGACGAGAAAGTCTAGTCTCAACGTGCTCTGCAGTCCGTTCCATTAAGAAGGTGATTAATACCCAAAACTCTTTTCCAAGGTCAGAATTTATTCACTGGGTATTTAACACAAATCAGTCCTGTGATAACGTGTCATAATTAATGCATTAGAAGGCCAGCCCCGATGCAAGGTTCAGAGTCCGGCGTCTAAAGCCAAGCTTTACACTGCGGATAAACATAAAGTGAGGCATTTTTCTCATCACAGCAGACAGGTTTTTGATATGAATAACAATATCCGAGTGTGGAAAAGCATCTCCAGTGTTAAGATGCTAGACACCGAGGTAAACAGCATCAAAAGACTTCAAAGTAGAAGGGACGGCAAGTGAATACAAAATGTCTCCATATCAAATACAGAGATAACTGTGGATTGTACAGGATTTTTTTATGTTATCAAAAGAGGAGCAGGCTTTGTACAGAAAAAAGTCGATTTTTATGCCTGACGACTGGGTAAATTGGTTCAGATGAGCCTTGAATGGTAATATGTTATCTCATGGGGTCTCTGTCTGATTCTGGAGTTCAGTTTGGGTAACGATATGAACAAGCTGTTCTTGGTATAAAAAATGAAAACCTTTCAGGAACAAAAGCATGGACATGAAAAAGAGAATCTTGTTTTCAACTTAGGATTTAAGCAAGATGTCATGACCTCAACAATAAATAATGGAATACATATTCTACAAATACAACAACACTAGGGCTGTCCTGAATAGCATTCAGTTTGTTCAGTTTTGTTTATATAGCGCTAGTTTATAACAACAGTCACCTCAAGTCAGTGTTGTAGGGTAAAGATCCTACAGAATTAGATGAAAAACACCAACAATCAGAGGACAACCCCTCCTCATCCTCATTAGTAAGCACAGTATCTCACAAAAGTTTTGCGAGATCTCCAGGAGGTCGAGGCACGATGTGCCGGGAAAGCGGTGTTCCTCCCGGCTGTAGTAGGTCTCGACCTCCCGTTAGCTTCGAGATGGTGGGTGTCAGATCTCCGAAAACGTCGGAGCACTTTTGCAAATATGTGATGTCTTGTAAACCGAGCAGGTATCTGACGTTTACACAACTACATTCACGCCTCAAAATATCTTAAAAGTGTATTTTGTGACCCAGAAAGAGTAATATTACAACTAAGTAGCTGCCGCCATTGTTGGAATTCAACTTTTGCGAGTTAGTTTTGCGAGATCTCGCAAAACTTTTGCGAGATCCGTCCATCTTAATTTTTTTTTTCTCCCATGTCCCCTGCAGGGCTCCGTAAATTTCCTTGTGTGGAAGAGTAAAATCAAAGCAAACTGTTTGGAAGTACAATGTTGAAAGAATTCCACAACAACAATTTTCACAACTGAATTAACTAACCCAAATTGCACTTTCCACAGTTACTTTTTAAGTTGCCCAATCCCCCGCTCATTCTCCTATTTCTGTTTGTCTATTATTCAGAACCTAAAGACTTACCTTCTGGATAACCTTCCCTCTCTAACTCACACAAAGGCTGCTTTTGCAGAGCAGAATGAGTTTAATTATTTCTATGTATTTTGTGGCATCAGAGTGGGTTGTTTTTGGAAGTGCACACTGTCCTCTCAAATGTCTTATCTGATTTATTATTTGACACTATATATTTTTTTTGTTGTACTTAACATGCCCAAGATTACTCCAGTCAAATGATTTGAACTTTGGGACAAGTCAACCAGAAGTCCTTTTATCAGTCTTTCACATGACTGTCTAAAAATTTTGTCCCACTCTTTTTTACATCGTGGCTTCAGTTAATTGAGGTCTTAAAGTTCAGAGCATTTCAGACTTGTCACAGTCTGGACTTTGAGTTGACCAATATAACACCTTGATTATTTAACATGTTAACAGAGACCTGTAGAAGTAGCTATTGTCTACTGGCAGTATTACATTGTCTGATCTTAGGGTGAATTTGCTGGAACATCCTTCTTTGGGACTTTCCCAGGAATGTTTTTCCATTTGTGAACAATCTTTCTTATGGTAGAATGATGGGCCTCAAATTGTTTGGGAATGGCCTTTTAACCGTTTCCAGATTTATGGGCAATAACTGTTGGTTCTCAAAGATCTAAGATCAGCTGTAGAAGTCTTTTCTCGATTGAATTGTGTTATTACCCACCTCAAAATTGTCAGAACCTCTGCTTTTGTAGAGTTAGTCACACTTAAAGATCAATTAATCAAGGGCTTTTGATTAATTGATTAGTATGACTGTTATTTGATCAAAGGGAATTTACTTAGTTCATTGTTTTTCTCCTCCTCTGTCTAGGTTTTGTGAATCACCCTCCAGTGACCCTGAGTTACCAGGTGGTCGTGGCCGGGGAAAGCGTATGCGAATTGCCATGGCCGATCGACCCTGTGTAGAGCCGACCCCTGCTGCCAAAGTCCGTGGTCTGTCTCAGCACAGGAGCCGCGGAGGTGGTGTGGCCGGAACAGCTGCACCTATCCACAGCAAAGGAAGAAGAGGCAGTCTTAACCTCATCAACAGCAACTGCCGAGCACCTCCTTCTTTCTTCACTGTGGAGGAGGTGAAACCAGCCTCTCTCTCATCTGGGAAGCGAAAGAACAAGCCACCATCTGACTTGGATCTCAGCCTGGTCTCCTCAGATGACGTTAAAAATGGCAATGGGAAGAGGATTCGTGCAAAATCCCGAAGCGCCCCGTCCACTCCACAGGGTAAATCTGACCCATCGTTTATGGATCCAGGAGGAGGCTGTGCTTCATCACCACCACCACCCATCCTCATTGACTGCCCCCACCCAAACTGCACTAAGCGCTATAAGCACATCAATGGCCTGCGCTACCACCAGACGCATGCACACCTGGAGGTTGAGGAGCAGCGGAAGCCTGAACTGGAACCCATGAAGGATGGGGAGAGCGAAGAACGGCTATCAGACTGCGAGGACAGCATCAGCAACATGACATATGACCTCTCAGAGACAAACAACAGCACTAATACCAACAGCTCCTCAAAGAAAAATGCTCCTCTGTATAAGGTGACCACAGTGGGGTCACCTAAAAACAGACGACTTCTTCTCAGTACCGACCACAGCCCCACAGCCAACTCCAAAACCAGAAGAACCTCACTGCTAAAAGATGGTCTAATTGATGACCTTAGCAATCTGCCAATCATATCTAACATGACTGTGGTTCTGGAGAACTGCATGGTCCCAGACAGGAACTCCTCAGTCGAGATGCCCAAACTGGAAGCTGAAGGTTTGATCGAGAAAAAGGGAAGTGCCTGTGATAAGGGCAAGAAGGCCAACGGGAAGGTAGAGAAGCTGTCCAAGTCAAGGACCAACCGGCCAATTGCTCCAGCCCCTGCTCCCCCTAAACTTATCGCCATACCCAACACAACATATCCATCCAGCACAGCAGATGCGGTTAACTCACAGCAGCCATCTCCTATCGCAGCTGTAGGCCTCACTAGTAAAAATCTTCCTTTGAAACCCATCAAACCAAAGTTAAGCATTGTTGTAGAGCCAAGCTTGGTCAAAGCTACGCTGGTCAACTGCAAGGAGACCAGGAAAAAAGAAAAGCGGAGACTTAAAGACAAACATAACAAAGATGCAGTGAGAACACCTAATGGAGACAGCAGTGGAATAAAAATGGATGATGGTGTTGGGTCTAAAATTGGGGTGAAAGAGAATTCTGGAAGCCTTCTAAAGGAACACCTCAGCAAGCAGGATGTAATGAATGGACTCAGTGAGAGCCAAGAGAGCAGGATGGCGAGTATTCGTGCTGAGGCCGACAAGGTCTACACCTTTACTGACAATGCCCCCAGTCCCTCTATTGGTAGCTCATCACGCCTTGATGCAAGTGGTAGTTGCCTGGGTACAGCAGACAGCAGCAGCAAGAATAACAGTCCCGCCTACTCTGACATCTCAGATGCTGCAGATGATGGGGGATCTTCCGAATGTCGGTCAGATGGAATCAGATCCAAGTCTGGCTCCTCGACTTCTTCCGAGGTGAGCTCCAACAGCAACCATAGTAACTCTGGTAAAACTCCACCCACAGCATGCACCCCGTCATCAAAAGACCCTCAGTCCCCGTACTACCACAGTTATGAGCCCTACTACCTGTCAGGATACATGCAGTCAGATAGGCAGAACAGCAGCAACATGACTTTCCACAAAAGCTCAGCCCACGACTGCAAGGGGAAAGACAGAAAAGAAGAGATGAAAGAGGATGATAAAAACTCCTCCCACGAGTTCTCTGATTCCAAGAAAGGTGACGGACCACCTCAGTCTCAGCTACAGCTGGCTATGAGTCAGACCCAGACAGCTTTGGCCCAGTCCCTATATTATGGCCAGTATTCAAGGGGACTGTACATGGACCAAAAACTGTTATTATCTTCCAAATGCTGTGACCAGACATCCAGTGCCAAGCAGAGGGCACAGACTGTGAGAGACAGTGAGGAAGTTAAACATATGGTTGGGTGTTCAGGTGGTGGACCCATGCTAGGTAAAGGTCCAGACGGTGCTAAAGGTTGCTGTGCCAAACCTGTCCTGTCCTATGTAGAGATGAGTGAGAGGGGAGAAAGGGGACAGAGCCTGGGCATAAAGGCAGTGCACGGTGGCATGGTGGACCAGCACCAGGTCTCAATGAAAGACTGTGATGACATCAAGTCACCCTCCTCTTCCTCTTCTTCATCACTCCACAACCCAAACAGTCAGACAGATCTGGACTCAAATGTTTCCTTTTCCAGTGTAAGTTTCTCCCTGTGTCTATAACCTGCCGCCGCCGCTGATGGTGTTGTTGGTGTGCTTTAATGACTGCTGTTGAGTGTCACAAAGAGATTAATCACACAGTGTGTACAGCTAAACCAATAGGTGCTAATAAAAAAAGACCATGTGGCTTCTGTGGTGGTGTAGCTCTACTTTGACATGCTACTTCGTTCAAAATTGTTTGATTTGATGGAGGCAAACGATTTTGATGTTTAGAGAGAGAATTACCACCTTAGCTGTAAAGAAGCTAAAAAAAAACCCTTTCTAACCCATAAGCTTGTACAGATTTGTAACCCATGTCTTCTCACAATGCGATTAATCGCTGACTCTAGCCATGCTGATGTAAAAAAGAAAAAACAAACAAACAAAGGCTGTACAAATTGAGCGAAAGCTGCGTTGGGGAGGGTAGGTTCATTTTTTTTCTTGGCCTAAATTCTGCACTTGATCATGTGTGAGACGTGTCTTGATTCGTGTCATTGAGAGGGACGCCACAGTCTTCACATCCCACTTCTGAATGGCCGCCTGCTGTTGAAACGTCGTCATCCTTCATCAACATCACACCCAGAGCCAGTGATAGATGGTCTGTCTATGGCTCTGTTCACTCAGTGTTTCCTCTATAGTCATTCAGCAGCGGTGGGCCGCCGCAACAAGAAATTCTCCACCCATGTTAAAAAGAAAATGTGCAATGAAAGTCATAAATTTGCTTTGCTTTTCCTCCAAAAATCCCAAGAGACAAAGAGATAACATTTAGACTTAATCCAAAAAAAGGCATTTAGTTTTAGCCCTTCGACTAGCCGTGTAAACACAAACTGGGACAGACGTGGACTGGAGTTGAACCAACCGCAAAATGACTCCCACCCACCACTGTTAACAAAGAATTATAGGGGAAACACTGCAAGTAGCACCAACACTTGTCCCCATCGATCTAGCCCTCAGACGGCCCCACCTGGGCTCACCGCCTCGCTCACAGCAAATACTCAGAGCTACAGAGTCAGCATGGGGAGGAGGCTGAGGAGGGCGAATCAGACAGTGGAAAAGAATGGGGAGCTACCATGGAGCCTGCCGGAGCCAAGATGACTTCAGGAGGAGGAGGTGGAGGAGAAAGAGGAGGAGTTGTGGGTGCAGATGCTAAAAAAGCCAGGGTCCATGCATCGCACGATCTCCCGCCTGCCATCGACACGGAGGATTCAGACAGGCTGGAAGGGCTGGATGATCAGGGCCAGGAGCCAATGGGAGGGCTGTCTGAGGAGTCACAAAGTGCCCGGGCGGCAGTTTCTCCTCCAATGACCCCTCAGCAGCCCTACATTCAGTACCAGCACTCCTCCTATCCACCCTACCTGGCAATGTGCGAGAGCAGTGGGGGCTCCTACAGAGGGGTGTCCCCAACCCTGGTCCACAATTACCCAGGTAAGACTCTGAGTGACGGTCGGAGTTAATGTTAGTAGTTCAACATTTTGGTAAATATGTTATAAGAGCTCAGAAGACAAAGGTGGAACAATGCAAAACTTAATCTAGGGAACTGTTAGCTATTTACCTCTGTTTCCACCATTTAGTCTCGGCTCAGCTAAGTCGTTTAGCTAAAGTTCTTGTTTACACTTATACTTGCGTATTCATCTTAAAATACAGTAGAGTGCTACATCTGAAACATTCAGTGTCAAGTTTAAGCTGAAGCAATAACAAGAATTGATGTGCTAGTTGAAACTGAATCACTGAAAGGCTTTTAAATGAGTGAAGATGCATAGTTACATAGTATTAGCCATCATATGAGTTTTACCTGCTGTCATTGGCCATTCAGCAAATACAATACCCTTCACTGATGACAGAGGCTGGTGTCACATCAGGTTTGTGCTCAATAACATCCTAAGATGAAGATGAGCTGACTATGAAACAGTCAAGCATTTCTTCTTTGTTCTCCTCACACAAAAAGAAGTGGGTTGCCTGTGCAGTCTGAAGTGCGTACACTTGCACACATCACATATGTTATGCAGTGCTCCGCTGCATATAGTCTAATCTCCCAACACTTTGTGAATACTGAGAATATCAGTGAACATAACTGAGCAATACATAAATTTGCTTCTCCGGTGAGTCACTCATTCTTCACTCACAGCTGATGACAGCTCAGCCTCAGCAGGATGGCTGGGGGTCCTTTGTCTGAAAGGATATTGTCACACAATGCTGCCCCCTATACTGGAGTATGAAAGGCAACTGCAACAGCAGGCCTTTATTTATGAAACTGAATTCACAACATAATCTCTCATATATATTGCGTCTGTTCATTCTCCTCGTTCGTGTACAGCAAAAGATGAGTTTGCTTAACATGCAAAACTATATTATGAAATTTTCTTGATTATTTTTGGCTTAGTTAACTCTTTAAAGCCTGAACCGTGAAATAACTGTCAGAAAATTCAACGTTTTTGAGTATTTGGTGGCAAATTATAAATATATCAATTTGCATATATGAGTTTTAATAGTGTCATATAGCTACGTTGTGTATTTCTTAAAAATGTAAAGTGCAATTCATTTAGATTTATAATAAAGTTTAATAAGTGCAAGTATAAATATTATATATATCATGTTAAGTATTGCAAATGAATGTACTGGTTTGGAGTTGGTAATATAATTTGTATTTTTTTATAGATATGTAAAGTTACTGTGTGCCTGTTTCTTTGTTTCTGTGTTTGTCGTCATAGGTTTTCATTATCCTCTGTACGGTAAGACTGCAGGCAGGGAAGAGTCGGAGGTGACACCACCCGGCAGAGGAGGAGCGGTGAGCAGCAAGCAGAGCAGCGACTCATCCTCATCCTCAGCCATGGAGCTGCTGCAGCAGCAGAGCCATCAGTATCACGGAAAATCACCTGCTGTGAGAGGCTTTACTGCCACATCCACACTGCAGCTCACAGCGACACACTTCTGATGTTTGTTTTCCTTCACACGACACAGATCTGATATCTTCCTCAGACAGGAAAAACACCTCAGGGAAAGATAAAGATGGGGGTAAAAATGGTAGACTGCTTTGATTCCACTCTGCATTTTAAAGCAGTCACTCATGAAGACCATCACATAACATCAGCGTGGCATAAACATGCCTTATAAACCCCTAAATAGGAAACTGTTGTGATGACCAAAGAAAGGTTTAGGATTATTTTTATAATCAGGTTATTGTTTTGTTTTTCCTTTGCTGACAAAGCAACAGAGAGGAAAAATATACTAAAAGCCCTGCATGTGGGTGTCCCGCAAATGATTTGGTTCGTAAAGACTGGACTTATTATATTAATAAAGTTCAGCCTGGAAGCTACGAAGTAAAGCCGGCAAAATGTTGACTGTATAAGTTAACTGTCTGATGGATTATATTTCTATTCCATTAAATGAGTGTTTAGATGTAAATGGTAAATGTAAATGGTAAATGGCCTGCATTTGTATAGCGCTTTTCTAGTCCCTAAGGACCCCAAAGCGCTTCACACTACATTCAGTCATTCACCCATTCACACACACATTCACACACTGGCGATGGCAACTACATTGTAGCCACAGCTGCCCTGGAGAGAGAGGTGAGGCTGCCGGACACTGGCACCACCGGGCCCTCTGGCCACCACCAGTAGGCAAACATGGGGTTAGTATCTAGACATGGGCCCTAGACAGTTTTAGCCTTTGTGAAGTTTAACAGTTAAAGAAAAATAAAATCATTTGAATATTAGCACACTTTTAACAAGTTTAAGGCGCATATATTAAAGCTTAAAGAACCAAAAATGTGTTACAGTAGCCTGCAGGTAACAGGAGAAAAGCAGGAATCAAGTTGCTTCTAACACAATGTACGCAACAAAACATACACAACTTTTGACTTTACTTTTCGACTTCAGACTGACACTAAAACCTATAGATGCTCCTCCTACATCATGGTTTGTGGTCCGCAGGCTCTTCCAGGATTGGTAAGGGTACTTTGGCTAGTCTGTAAGTGGTGGCTGCTTATCTCATATATAACATCTCCCAACCTGAACTTGGATTT